CTCTCACTGTTCTTATTTTCCCCTCAAGGTGGGCTGGCCACCCCACCCCCGCACTTCCTGGAACACTTAGGGACACCAATCTAATTCCCAAATCTGAGCCTGGTGCACTTTCCCAGAGCTTTAGGGACATTTCAAGTGGAAGAAGAAAAACCAGAAAATAATCCCCTTCCTCAAGTGGAAAGTTGCCTACTCCGGCAACAGAAACTGAGAAGTCCAAAATCACGAAGAGGAACCAGGGTACCCAGGGAGCTCCCCAGGGGAAAGGCCCAGAATGACTCCAGTGCCCAGAGCAGGCCTGCCCAAGCGTGTGTGCCAGGGCACCAGTGGAGCCCTGCGCCCCTCAGGCCCAACTATTTTGAAGTTTTAAATCAAGCTAACAAACCGTTAAACAAAATATGTTCTGTCCTCTTCGCTTGAGAAGCACACTTCCGTGGCCAAGCTCAAAGGCCGGTTGAGAATGTGGCCAGTGGGGGAGACATGGTACTCGGCCTCCTTCTCTCTCCACCACCACCCCCTTCTCTTGGCTTCCCACCACCCGGCTGGAGTCCTCAGGCACACACCTGAGGACACCCCGGCCAGCGTGTGTCCGGTTCCACCTGCACCATGCGCCCTTGTTGCAGCCCCTTCCCTGGGGCCTGTAGAGGACACCCACTGTGCAGTCTGTCAGGGGCCCTGGGAAGAGATCGGAGCAGGACAGAAGCAGACTGGGCACCATGTGTGTAGGAGAGTCTGGGGTCCCAAGAGGGGGCACCAACGGCAGGCTGACATGGCCCCATGGCCCAATTCCTCATTCTAGTGAGAGGCACAGGGCCAGGTGTCCTCTGGCCACTGCCTAGGGACAGTGCTACCAATGGACTCATCCCAAGATAGGGACACCCTGCACTTCCAGGCTGTAGTTTACCCTTCCCATGTGATCCCTCTGCTTTTCAAAATATATCTTGGCCATAATCTCAGAATCAACTCACACTACCATTTTTCTGTTGTTGGTCACATTTAAGTCCATCAAGTAAATTTTGAACTTACACAAACACACACAAATGCCAGACAGGAGAACAAAAAGAAAGTCATAAATTAAAATCTTGCTCAGCATTGAACCTGCTAAATTTCAGGAGATTCATTTTTCATGAAAAATATAGGGACAGGTGACACAGAATTGAAATATGTTAACTACCAAGTGAGTGACGGGTACAGAGGATTCATTTTTTCCTCCCACTCTTATGTACATTTGAAAAATTTCACAACTAAAGGTTAAAGGAAAAGGTTTTGAGCCGCACAGCCCACAAAAGGAGCCTGGCAACCTTTGAAATCATATTCCTCCCAGTGATGTACTAAACGGACAGGTGGATGCACCTCTCATGCACTGTCCATTTTTGTAAATATAATGCTGAGCAAACCCGCAGTGAGACAGTATCATGCAGGAGCCACAGAGGCCACCTGGCTGCTGTGGCCCCAGGCTGCTACCCAGGTTTCCCAAGTCAGGAGCCTGGAGCCCCGACCTGGCCCCACCTGGACTTGTATCTTTACTACCAGAATTGATAAAAAGGCTGCTCATTGATTCTCTCAGATGTTCTTAAGCAGGTTAAACTTCAAGTCAATGACCAGATAAATCCGGGACACAAAACCAGAGAAAGTGACCAAGGCAGTTTGTCAGACAAAGCCTGCTTGGCCCTGTGGCCGTTTCTCCAAATCAAACAAAGCAGGCACTGTGGCCTCTACGTAAACATAGCAGCTGGGAGAATCCAGGCCTGGTGTTTACATGGAACCTTTGCCCCAGAAGCTTAAAGTAATTGAGGAAGACTCATTAATTAACTCAGTTAAGTCTCCCAAGCCTCTTCACACTCAGCCCGCACCATTTGCAATAACAAGTGTGGCCAGGAGAGAGAGACAGGGCAGCTCCCACTCATAAACACATGCGCAAACACACGGATGCACGCAGGCCGGCCTTCCTGGGGCTGCTGGGGGGACACTGAACTCTGGAGCACTGGTGCTCACTCTGAAAATGGAGAAAATGCACGAACATCAGGCATATTCCCTTTCATCCGGTCCACACTTAGTCTAAAAGAGACAAAGGGCAAGACCCAAGGTGCATACAGGAGATAATCTGTGTGCTAATTTGGGATTGTGGACCAAGGGGAATTGTTACCTGCTATGGCCTTTCCCTGTACTAGAGAAGCCTCCTACTACTCAATCAGGTCACCAAGAAAACCTTATAAAAACCTTTGAACTTGGTGCCAATATGTTGGCTTTTCTGCCTCTGAAATTCCTGCTCCCATGGATCCACAGTAAAGACAGACTCTCAACCCAATTATTTTAGAAGCAGGGATTTGGAGGTCTTCCTTCAGCAACCCTCCTGCCAGCAAGCTGGAGGGCCTGGTGTGAAGACGATCTTCAGAGTCATGTTGGAACAAAAGGACTGGACACAACAATTAACCAACCAAGGAGAATCGGTTTTTCCTACACTCACAACCCCATCAAGCCCCTGCCTGTCTCTGAGCACTGCCTGAAAACTTCAGGCAGTGGTGAGCCCCTCCTGGCGAGAAGCCTTTTCAAGTTAGGATCCTTGTGGGGTAAAATGTGCCCCGAAGGGCTCTCCCGCTGTTCCCTGTCAAAGCAGCTGCCGAGCATCTGCCACAGAGCTGGACAGCATTTAGGACTGCTCAGTGGCCAGGGAGAAACCACTAGCACAAGGGCCTAAACCCTCCACTTAAGTCTCCTGGCCTCTCATTCCTCGTTGGGGAGACATCACAGGAAACCAAACCGAGGTGAAAAGGAAGCTGCCTCCAATCTTGAACCTCATGGAAAGGGTGAATGGTCGGGATTCGGCCTCCAGCAGTGCCAGCTGCCACAGACGTACCGCCCCCCACAAGAGGAGAGTGGAACCTTTTGGGAAAAAGTGAGAGCACTCTCACCTTGTCAAGGACAGGAAGGCTAGCCCCCTGGAGCACAGATGGGAATTTCAGCATCAGAGTCGTTATAGTCAACTGTGGAGTGTTTAGGATACTTGAAAAGTTTGAAACCACAATGTCCTAGTAATAGAAGGTGCTCACAGTTCGTCTCTGGGCCAGCAATGCCACCAAATGCTACAGCTGCTTTTTAAAAATGGTTTCACTTAATAATTTAAGAAAAACAGACTTCAAAAATGCAGCATTCAATTTAGCAGTGACTCCCTTATACAGAATTTTATTGTTGTTAACAACCATTTGATCAATAAATATGAGAGATGCCCTCTCAAAAAAAAAAAATGCAGCATTGAGCCCAAGGTCTACTGAAAAACGAATGTTAGGTTAAGTGACAAATGTGGACTGCATGTGAGTTGGGGACAAGCCGAGTCCTTTCATTACACCCCCTGCTCTAGAATCCGGCGTGCTGTAATCACCAAAGTAAAGTACATGCACCTCAGCACATACTTAACTTTCAAATGGAAAATATGCTTTATATTACCTTTATTAATCATTTTTCAAGTCCTCACTTTTGAAAAACAGCCGTTTTCTCCAAGTGGCTTCAAAAGAACTCTTAAGTGTGCATAAACTCTTTAATGATGTTGTAATCCAACTGAAAGATGTTTTAGTCTCTTTGATGAAGCAGTTTTGTACCATGACATTATCAGCTCATTCATCTCAGCTCAGATAAATGTAGTATGAAGCAGACATCTAAAATGGAATGGAAATTTCTGTGGTTTTAAGACCTTAGCAAATGACCAAACTTGGACTTTTCGAGACAGAGCACAAATCGGAATAATCTGATAATAGTTTAATCCATGACTTGCTGCACATTTCTGGTGCTGACAATACTGGACATTGTTTCAGTAACCAAGTGACTGAAAACAAACCAGATAACTGTGTGCTAATGAGATGACTGGGGAAAAGAGAAACAGAAGAGGTGGTCCTTCCAACCTGTATCTTAACTGAAGAATCAATGCATACAAATGTGGAAGGAAGACTAGAGACCTTTGTAAAGTGTTGTGAGTGAGCGCATCCGCCACCTCACGGACAAGTGACCTCCTGTGTGCTCTGTTTAGCTACGAACAAGGGGAGATGGTACAGCTGGACACCAGCAGTAAGCCTGCTCTCCGTGTTCACGTTTAAAGATCTGATCATCCAACCTGGTCTTGCTCACTTGGGCGTTACCTAGAGCTTATTCACGAATGTGCTACAAAACCAGGGGTGGGGTGGTTCGTGGTTCCAGGAAGCCATACGTCCTGTGGCATTACAGAAACAGTCATCTAGGGTTCAAGTGGAGCTGGGTCTCCTTGGGCAAGCAAGTTTCTGGGGCTCTTCCACATTTATTCACCTCTAATACTGGGGTGATAATAGCTTCTGTACAACCGTGAAAATTAAATGAGGTTGTCTCTGACGTTCTCGGCACAATGCCAGCCTAAGGTCTTCCTGAGGCTCAGATGTGAAATACATGGGCTTGGCATCTGGCTAACTTCAAAGTCACCCAGCGTAAAGGCAGAGTCACCGGAGACTGACTACACGTGCTTCTGAGTTCTACAATTGGCGGTACTGACGCTCCTCCGTTAAGTATTTACCGGGAGGCAAAGCGGTTTCCCCGGAGTCTCCCTAAGAGTGATTTTGCCCCATCCCCTGCTGGGTTGACGCCAGTAACACAAACCAACGCGCATCAACAGATGCGATGGGAGGTCAGGGCACATGGTAGGGCCTACTCCGGAGCCAACCCGCTCGGATCGTAGTGAATCTGTAACGTGCCCGGAGGAGCCCGGGGCAGCAAAGGCCGGAGCCGGCTCTCCACGAGGGCAGCCCTCGGGGCGGCCCGGCAGAAGTGCCCTCGGCGTCCCCAGCGTCCCCTCATTCAAACCAGCCGCCGGCCCCACCCCGCGCCCCGGCCGTCTCCGCGCCCCTGGACTGGCCACCCGGGAAGGGAGGTGCCCGCTCTCCGAAGTCCCAGCGAGACGGGCGCCTTCCCGTCCGGGCGCCCCCGCCCCGGGGCAGGACACGAGGCCCCGCGGCCCCAGCCCCGGCCCGCGGCGCCGCACTTACCGAGCGTGGCCACCGTGCCGGCCTCGAAGAGCAGGCAGTCCCCGCGGCCGCGCGCCTCCAGCAGGACGCTGCTCTCCGCCCCGGCCTCCAGCCGCCCGAGCAGCCGCAGCCCCTTGCTCAGGGCCATGGGCGCCGCGGCCGCGTCCCGCCCGAGGGCGCGCAGCCCGCCGCGGCTCCCGCAACCTCAGGAGTTCCGCTCTGCGCCCGCGCTCCGGGCCGCCCGCCTCCTCCCCGGCCGGCCCTCCGCCTCCGGCTCCTCCCCGCGCGGCCGCGCCGCCGGCCCAGGTGAGCGCGCGGCTGCCTCCGCCTCCGCCTCCGCTCCGCGCGCCGCGCTCCCCCCAGCGGCCAGGCCGGGGCCGGGGGCTAAACCGGGGCGCCGGGGCGGCGGCCGGGGAGGTGGATGCCGCACATTCCCGGGCGCGGAGGAGGATGCAGCCCGCGGAGGCCCCACCGCGCCGACAGCGCCCCGGACGCCTTATATGGGCCCCTCCGCGCTGCCCAGCCCTCCCCATTCCGACCGGGCGCTGCACCGCCCTGCCTCGTCTGCGGCGACCCTGGAGTCTTGCCCAACCCTCTGTGCCGCAGCTGCCCCGCGGGTAAAGTGGGATGAGTAACTGCAGGCATGTACCGCAGAAGGTTGCAGTGAGGACCCAGTTAATTCGCCTAGAGGGCTTAGTGAGGGCCTGGCGAGTGCAGGTGTTGGGTAAATGTTGCCTTTTGCTTGCACTTGCTACCTGTATGGGAGGGCATGGCGGGCCACTGTCCACACCAGGCGGAATTTGGGGGGCAATCAAAGGTGGGTTGTTTTGGAACGCTGAGACCATGATCTCTAGACCTGCCACTTCGTACGTGACCTTGCTTTCTCTGAGAGCGCTTTCCTGACCTGTCATTTGGTAGCAATACCTGGCCCACCGGCTTCCAAGTAGCAAGCAGGGCAACTGAAAGGTGCTCAAGGGGGGCTCTTCCCCTCCCCCTGCCTGTGCCCTTTCTCTCCAACTTGCAATCCCTATCCCCACTCTGTTGAGTATAGTCCTGGACTTAAGGGCAGGTGCCACACCAGCCAGTCTGTACTTAGGGCATACAGACACCGGCACATATCTGCATGTCCTCAATTGGGAGCACGTGACCCATATGAAGATGACCTAAGTAAGTAGCTAAGCAATGGGAGGTAGGACACCTCCTGGAGTGGGCGGGGGATGTCAGGACACATCTGCCCCAGGGAGAGGGCTTACCCAGGGTTATCCCTTGGGTGGGTTTGCAGGTTTCACTTCCTTGTCCTATATTGGGTATGTCTGGATGGCCCCAGAGACCTCCATCAGGGTCCCCACACCATTCTGTTCACACTGAGAAGACTATTGGTCAAGCCATTTGTCTCTTGGGCATGTTCCAGAAGTAGAGCCCCCAGTGCCAAGCAGGACACTGCAGTGCCCTCGCAGACATTCAGGAATGACCAGAAGGTCTACCCTCTATGGACAACCTTTCAGGTGATGATTGGGATAATAAAGTAAATGTGAGTGAGTGGCAGAGATGCCAATCATTCTTGAGCCTTCTGGCCCCCTGCTCAACAAATTCAGTTATGCTGAGGGTATCTCAGGATGATGCTCATATGCTGTCCAAATAGTTTCTTTCTCTGTAAAATGGAAATGTTACTTCCACATGAGGACAGTGTGACCCTTAAGTACCCCTTAGTAGGGTGACCAGGCCTGCATGTGCTAGAGGGCAAGCAGCAAAGGATCCTAGAAGGCGAGTTAAAGACAATGCATGGGAAGGGATGTCCCATCCCTAAAGAGGAGAAAGGAAGGCCCCCAATGCAGGTGGGAGGATCAGCCCTTCAGTTCTTTGGAGGGAGGACAGGACTGGACACAGCAGAGGAGGCAAAGGGTCGGGGATGGCATGGGAGCTGAGGAGAGTGGAAAAGGCCCAGAACATTGGCCATGGTGTGGGCTACCTAGAAGGCGTATTCAGAATCCCTTGGACCTGAGAAGATAATGGAATCCTACGGCAAAAGCCAACCTGATCGTGTCTGGTTCTTCTTTGCAAAAGAAAGAGAATGTCTCAATCCTGGTGGCTCTACCTTAAAAATATATCAAGGGTCTGACCATTGTGTGCTGCCCCATTGATTTAGGTTCGTTTCCCTGTGACATAGACCCAGAGCACGGACCCCCGAGACCCTGCAGGCGCTGGCCAGTCCTTGCCTCGGAAGAGGGCAGGGCTCCCTTGGGCCAGGGATTCTCCCAGCCTGGGAGGAAAACCCCTCCCCTCTGTGGCACGCATGCCGCTGTCCTACCTGACCTGATTGGTGAGCCTGGAGCTAGTCACCCTCCTCCCCAGACCCTGCGGGCAGCCACACTCTGCGGGAGCCAGCCTCCATGTGACCTCAGGCCCTGTGCACCCTGGCCCCGCCTCTCACGCCACCATGGGCGGCTGTGCTCTGCTGTTCACCTCTTGCACGTTGCTGTCCCTGCACTTCCTCCCATGCTCCGGGCACCCCGCTCTGGCCTTGAACGTGGAATGCTGCTCCCCCACAGATCCCTGTGGCTGTGTCTCCACGCTTTCAGGTCTGTGCAAAACCTGGCTTCTCAGTGAGGCCTTCCCGAGCCTCCCCGTTTCCTCCATCCACCTAGCCCTCTGCACGGGCCAAGCTGTGTCCCCACGTTCCTGTGTTAAAGCCCTAACCCTCAGCTCCTCAGCACAGGACTGTGGAGACAGGGCCTTTGAAGGGGTGATTAAGTTAAAATGCGGGGTCAAGCTGGGCCCCAATCCAGTATGACTGTCCTTGTGAGAAGAGACCAAAGCACAGACACGCACGGAGGGAAGACACCCCATCAGGACCCAGGGAGAAGGTAGCCGGCTGTCTACCAGTCACGGAGTCAGGCCAAAGAGGAAATGACCATCTGACGCCTTGATCTCAGATTCTAGACTCCAGAACCGTGAGAAATAAATTTCTGTTGCTAGACGCTCTCCGTCTGCAGTACCTTGTCTTGGTACCAGACTTATACACTCTGAAACATTCCTGCTTAAATTTTCTCCTTAGTACTTACCACTGTCTACGGTAATAAACAGTTTCCTTATTTGTCCTGTCTGCCACCCATCTCCCACTGTAATGTCAGCCCACTGGGCAGGGTTCGTTTTGTCCTGGCTGCTCTGTCCCCGGCGTACCCCCAGTGTCTAGAACATGCCAGGTACACGGTGGGCCTCAGCAGTGCCTATCCGGCAACAGTACCCTCTTGTTTTGCAAGATTCATGGCATTTTTAGTATGGTGGTGGTTCTTACCCTCACTGATGGGTTCATTAAGCAAATATTTACTAAGCACCCACTATATGCCAAGCATTTTTCTAGATGCTTGGAATATAATAGCACATAAAACAAGTCCCTGCCACAGAGAGGACAGCATACAAAGTACGCAGATGAAACCCTGCAGGCTCTCGGGAGCACACCTGTGCCTCCTCTTTGCCCCCACTCTGATTACACTTGCAGCTTTTCTTGGATAGTTCTCCAGTTTCCCCACTTGTGCAAATGTGACACACTGGACACGATTCTCTAATAAAGCTCTGACTCAGGGGCAGCCTAATTAAGGTGATGATACATATGATTTTCTGAGTTTGTTTCAATTTTACTACCTTTGTACTTTCCTTAAAAGGGATTCATTAAATGTACAGCTAATTATGACTTAGATTTTTTTACCTTAATAAGGATTCTCATCTGGATACATTCACAAATTAGAAAATATTCTTTTGTCAAACCACATGCCCCTCTTTGGGGTTCAGATAAACAGGGTCACCATGAATATTCTGACAAAGCAAATCAGTCCATTGGTGAAAAATCTATATTCTTTGAGTCCCTATAAGTACTGATTGGCTGGTTTTCAAAGATATCCAGCCCTAATTTCTAAATAAAATGTCAAAGCTTTTCAAAATACAATATTTCATTAGATATTAACAAAACTGTGAATATATATGGTAAAAAACCAATATTTTCAACTCATTAATCAACTGGTTCATTCACTCACCCAGATGGCAGCTTCCCAGGAATTTGTTTATTGGCCTTTATCTCCCTTTTACTCGAAATCCTTAATGCAGGGGCAGAAACTGCATAGTCTTGCAGAGTGGTGCCATTTTTGCGGAACAATAATTATTTAATATTAGCAGATACTCAGCGTTCATGCTTCCAATTGTCTCACAAATGTCATAGGTCACCTCCCACGGTTCGTGTACATCACACAGATAATGCTTACACAATGTGACTGATGTCTCTTAAACCCCTTTTACTATGTAGGTTTCCCTCCTGTGTATTCTTTGTCCCTTGCAGTTTATTTGTTGAAAAAACCTAGATGGCATGCCCAGCAGTCCTCCACAGACTGGATTTTGCTGAGCGTGTCCCTGTGCTGCCGCTCAGCGGCCCTTTGCCTTCACCTTCTGTGGCATCTGTAGCTTGCTGGCTGGCTGGACGTAGAGGCTCCAGCAGATGCTGTCTTTCGGGTGGGAGTGCGTTCTTCCCGTCAGGAAGCAGATGTCTGGTTGCTCCCCTTTGGGACAAGCCGCCATTGATCATCAGTGCTGCAATCCTTGCACCACAATTACATTCTAGCCCATCATTCTTTCTTCATTTCAGCTAAAATTTTTATATAAACAGAAAATTCCTATCTACTATTTGTCCAATAATACCACAAACAAACAAAGCAAGTAGAATAGGATTCTTTTCCTTTATTGACTAGTGTTCAAAATAATGAGTTGAATTTGTCCACAAACATACTCCAATGGTGGCCAGTGAGTGTTGGGCTTTTCCCCCACTTTCAATCTAAGCACGTATTTGAGTTTGGGGGTCCCTGGTGTGTTCTGGCCCTTACCGTTTATCCTTACTGATGCTCTCCAGCCAGCCCCTTGCGTCGGCTCCTCCAGGTCCTCTTGACATGATCCCAGGGGTCTTTGATTGGCTCCTTTCCTCCTGGAATGACAATATCAGGCTCATTTTGTACATTTTCTGCATCTAAGACCTAGAATCAATCATTTCCCCAAGAACCCATGTTTCTTTTTGGTAGAAAAAGGACTCTCAAGACCACAGTTGGGTGCCTATGAATTTAACCCTCATGATTTGAGAATTTAACTGCCAAACCAGGACAGTTTGATAGTTAAGCTCATTTTCTCTGAGACAATGATTTCTACCTTCTCCTCCCCTCTTCACACATCCCTTCCTCTCCACCTGCTTCCTCTCAGCAGCTCACCTGGCCTCAGGCTTCCCAGAGAAAGTAGGGCCACAAGAAAAGGACCTC